CACACTTTAAATGACATAAAATAGACTAAATGCATATTTTTGTGATTTTCTTCTTTTAAAACCAAATTATGGTTCGATTAGTTCCTAAATGCACAATCAAATCCTAAATATGCATGCAACATATTTTTGTTTTTGTATTTTAATTAATTAAAACAGGATAAACATTCACAGATAAAAACACAAATAATTATCCAAAAATACCACGCAAATTCTAAAAATTGTACACCAAGGAAATTTGTTTTAATTTTGATTTCTTTTGGAGTAGTTTTTCGTGAAGCAAAAATCACGTGCTCACACTTCTTTCACATATGCGAAACCGTATCTGCGGAACCTGAAGGAGAATCGAGAATCTGCTTCTACGGCTCATACGCCGCTTCTGCGGCTCCGCACCTGCGGAACCCAAACCGCAGGTGCGGTTATGACAGACACCAGCAATTTTTTCTGAAATCTCTAACTTCAAAATCTTTCCGTCAACCATCCAAAATCATCCTAAGGCCTCCGGGACCTCAACCAAAAACACCAACGTCACATAATACCTTGTTCAAACTTGTACCAATCCTTAAAACACCTAAAACAACATCGAAAACTTGAATTAATCAAGGATTTAAGCCTAAGAACTCCAAATTTCCTCAAATATACGCTTTCGATCAAAAACCCAACCAAACCACCTCCAAATGACCTGAAATTTTGCACACACATCCAAAATGAATTAATGGAACTACTGCAACTCTCGAAATTCCATTCCGACCCTCGGATCAAAATCTCACTATCGAACCGGAAACTTCCAAAATTCAACTTTCAGCATTTCAAGCCTAATTTAGCTACGGACCTCCAAAACACAATCCGAACACGCTCCTAACCCCAAAATCACCCAATGGAGCTAACGGAACCATCAGATTTCCATTATGAGGCCGTCTTCACACTGTTCCGGCTACGGTCAATTTTCCAACACTTAAGCTCTCATTCAGGGGCTAAGTGTCCCAAAACTCTCCGAAACTCACAACTGAACATCCCAACAAATTAAATTAGCAGAATTAAACTTGGGGAAAACAGTTAATAGGGGATCGGGGTGTTACTTCTTAAGACGACCGGCCTGGTCGTCACAATAATCCGGAGGAAAATGCGGTAAGCTTTTCAAGCACATACTTATTTTTCGCTTTTATTATAGTAATATAAAGGTATTCAACCTTTCCTATGGTGGTCTCAATATGATAGCTATTTTGGCGAATATCTTTGAAACTCAACAAGTTTCTTTAAGGCCTACTATAATATAATGCATCATTAACAACCAATATAGTTTCTCCTGGTAGTAATACAGTCGCTCTTCCAGAGCCCTCAATTAATTTTGTACTACCAAATATTGTTATGATATTGGCTTCCTTCATAATCAAATAAGAGAAATATCTCTTATCTTTTAATATGATGTGTGTCGTAGCACTATCCAGAAGACATATTTCTTCTTTATTATTCATACGGCCAACTGAAGACCGGGAAGTTTTCATATTCTTCAAGAAGAAGAAAAAATACATCATAAGTAATATTGAAAAATTTAAGAACAAAAGAAACTACATTTATGAAATTAAATACTGACAACATAAAAAGTTTTATTCAAAATATGAACTTCATAAAAAAAATACATTTATTCTTATAATTTTTCCCAATAATAAGTCTTCAATTATGATGCTCAAAGAAGTCTCCATTTTCTAAATGAGTAATATATGCAAGGCCTTCAAAAATATCATTTTTATAGGCAAGGTTTGCTTCAACTTTATCATGATTATTCATAGGGCCCGCCTCAACTTAATTTTGAAAAGTCAAGTGAGTCTCAACTTTATTTTGTTTCCTTTTTATAGATGCTTGATAAAGTTTGATAGAATGTTCAAGTGTACGACAAATTCGTGCCCAATAATTTTTCATACCACATCGGTGACAAACATCACCTTTGCCTTTTGAAGAATTTTTCTGAGAACCCTTTCTTGTTTATAACAACCACTACTATGACGATTATTATTTCGCCCCTTGCCACGCCCATGTATATTTATACGGTCACGATAATTATTTTGTCTTTTTTTAGTGGATCTATCGTTCCCAGATTCGCTTCTGGAAATGGAGCTGATCTAGTGGGGCGGGATTCATGATTTTTTATTAAAAGGGCATTATGTTGTTCAGCCACCAAAAGGCATGAAATTAACTCAGAATATTTCTTAAAGTCCTTTTCACGGTATTGCTGCTGTAACACCATATTTGAGGCATGAAAAATGGAAAGAGTCTTTTCCAGCATGTCCTCATCATTCATAGGTTCCCCACATAATTTTAGTTGGGAAATTATTATATATACAACAGAATTATATTCACTTATGGTCTTATAATCTTATAGCCGTAAGTGCATCCACTCACGACGAGCTCTTGGCAATACCGTGGCCTTTAGGTGGTCATATCGTTCCTTCAAACTAGTCCATAATTGAAATGGATCTTTCAAGGTTAAATATTCACTTTTTAACCCTTCATCGATATGATGGCGAAGAAAAATCATGGCTTTCGCCTTATCCTGACTTGATGCTTCATTTCCTTCTTTAATAGTGTCACCAAGACCTTTAGCGTCAAGGTGAATTTCAGCATCAAGTACCTATGGCAAATAGTTATTTCCAGAGATGTCAAGTGCCATAAGTTCAAGTTTTGACAAATTCGACATAGTGAAACTATCATAGAAATAAGTGAATTAGAATGACAAGAATTATTATCAATGAAAAATTCAGTGCAGTACATAATCGTGTATTAATATTCTATATGTATAATTATCAAACAAACAATTATGTGCAGTGCGATGATAAATTAATGTTTAATATTACCCACAAAAACTTTAGGCATGTAAGTATATTTTCATAGAATAAATAAGTTGAATTAATATGTACTAGTATAATTTTGTTCTACTTAGAATACGTTTCAATAAGCTAAGTAGGCATAAAACTAGATGATATCAATTCTGACAAGTTTTAACATTCAACACGATTCATCTAATAGTTAAGTCGTTAAAGTCATTAATTAGTTTGTACACTTAGGTGATAAATTTATTGAAGACACATTTAAATCTTTTGAAAATTTTGCAAGAATTCCTTCTAAATGCATATTCTTTAGAATATTTGGATGTGGGCTTAATTACTCTAATTATTGTAATTCAATTTTAATACTTATTTATTTATGTGTCGGATTAAACATCTTCGTAGTTTATATAATGAAAATAATTTAACTGAAACTTATTACTTTCATACCAATGCAATTATTATAATCATATTCAAAACAAGTTATGCATATGGTAATTAAATTGCAGGTTAAAGAAGATCCTAATAGAAATGTTATAAATATATGAATGTATACCTGAATCGGAAAAGAAACTGACTACCTCTTTTTGGAAGAAGATAAAATTCGGATGAAGCAGATAACCTCAGTTGATTAGAACCTCGTGCTGATAACGTGTTAAGAAATGAGAGCAAAATAGAACAATATAGTAATAGAGACAAGATGTATAGGAGGAGAATGTACAAGTTATCTTATTCAAATGTGTTTCTTGTATGTTCTTTCATAGACAAAGAATATCCTATTTATACCATACAAGATACACTCAAAACTCACTAGATACATCCTAGAAATTAATAGATGCATCTATCCAAATAGTACATTATATAGAATGTATGGATGGATTAAATGAACATCCATATACATTCACTTTATTTATAACAAAAAGAAAAAGAGTTACAACTAGCTATTTTTCGCCATAAATTATCCAAACAATAGAAATTTCCAGAAAAGAACAAAAAACAAAAATTATCTAATCCATCCCATTAATAACGTGGGTCCAGCATAACAAAAACAAGAATGACCCAGTGACACGTATAACCACCCAAATTTGTGTTATATAATTTCTTTTCCTTGTTTACGTTTTTTGGGTATATAACAAAAAAAAATACCTACCACTGGAGCATACACTCTCTTTTGTTTTGCTCAGCTTCTTCCTATGAGCTAGCCGGCCATTAGCTCCCTCTTCGCTAATCACAAAGAATTCATGATCTGATTTTTATCGAGTCTCAGAAATGGTGTGTTCAGGTAGGATACTGTGTTTATCTTGCTCAACGACGCCGTTTTGTCCTTCTACTTCCAGATATCTCTATAGAAGGAACCTTAGAAATAATACTAATAATATTAAATGGCGATCCATGGCCTCCGATGCTGATGCCTCTGCATTTACTACTTCTTTTGATTCTGAATCCTCCGATATAACTGCCCCCGGGTAATTCATCTTCTAATTTCAGGAATCAATTTGTTCTTTGAATATTTTGATGTTTTGAAGGGACTTATGAGTAACTATTAGAAAGTTATAAAGGAAGACAATTGATCGTTTTGGGATTTATTTTGACAGGTTTTGTATAATAGAAGGGCCAGAGACAGTAGAGGACTTTGCCAAAATGGAGTTGCAAGAAATTCGAGATAATATTAGAAGTCGGAGAAACAAGATATTTTTGCATATGGAGGAGGTCTGTTTTTCTCCCTCTGTTATTTATTTATTCAATTTAATGTTTCAAAGAATAGCTCTATATTAAGCTATAGTCTATAGAACATAGCAAACATTTTCTATGATAATTATTCTCTTTGGATGACGGTGGTGTTCAAGTCAGCTTGCGCGCACCTTTTGTATCATAATTATTGATCGGACGTAATTCATATTATTGACTGGAGAAATAGAAGGTCAATCATAATGTTTATAATTGACATAAAGGGCAGCCCGGTGCACTAAGCTCTCGCTATGCCTGGGGTCCGGGAAAGGGCTGAATCACAAGGGTCTATTGTACGCAGCCTTACCCTGCATTTCTGCATCTCTATTATATAATAGAAAGGAAAAAAAACTTATAGACATCCGGTGTTTGCATAAAACTGAAGAATGGAAGACGTGTCAATAATATAAACTTTTATCACTTAGCTACGACTAAGGTTAAATTACTTGATTTGGTACCTGTATTTTTCAAATAGAAATTGATGATGTGGGAGACATGTCAGTGCATGACATTTATGACCTCGGGAAATTGACATGTATAGCAGAGAAGCTGGTTTGTTGATTAACTCTCATTTTCACTTTTGCCTAAAATATTGGAGTATCTTCTTATTAACTTTTGCTGATATGAAGCACAATATGCCTTTGAATGTTGTCCTCATTATTTCTTGTTATGGTTGAGATACATAGGGGTTTGATTGCTATAGTTGCATAATTAGATGTTCATATTCTTCCATTGTCAAAATTGTTATTCCTCGTATCTTCAAACTCGAGCAGGTACGGCGGCTAAGAATACAACAAAGGCTAAAAAGTGCTGAGCTTGGGATACTAACGGATGAACAAGAAAATGAGCTTCCTAATTTCCCATCATTTATTCCCTTTTTGCCTCCCCTTGTAAGTATTCTTGGCTGTTGCAGAATGTTTATGTAGTGATTAGACTCTTATAATAACCTAAAGTTCCAGTTCTCGTAAAGTAAGGAGATCCTTTCTTTTTCTTTTGCATTGAAGGATATGCAGTATTTTGAATGACATTTTTATGTTTTTTTTTTTTTGCAGACATCAGCAAATCTTAAGCAATATTATGCTACCTGTTTCTCACTCATTGCCGGAATTATGCTTTTTGGTGGACTTCTAGCGCCTACTGTAAGTTTTTCTTTTAATGTTTTTATTTTTCTTATTATTGTTGTCATTTGGCCAATTGACTTTAGGTGAAACTGTGATTAATTTCTGAGAAATCCTCAGATGCTAACAATCAGTTCAAACTCCTATATATGCCTTGTGAGGCCTACTATTCTTAACATCCAAAGCCTGTTCATTTATTGCTATAGTTGGAGCTGAAATTGGGATTAGGAGGCACATCGTATGCTGATTTCATCCAAAGCATGCATCTCCCAATGCAACTGAGGTACGTACATGATATAGTAAATTTTTATTCTATAAGGTTAAGTACTTTATTGATGATTAGTACCAAGAAGGTACTTCAAAAGTACAAAGATAGCAACGAGTTCATTGCTATAGTTACAGCATATTAGACTTCAAAAACTCCAAGAGAAGCGTTCAATTTTCCAGTAGACTACTCCTACACCATAAATATAGCATCTGTGAACTTTTATGTTTTGCAAAAGATAAATCCAATTTCTTTCCTTCAAAGCGTCTATTATTTCTATCCAACCATAGTGTCCGGATGATGCATATTGGGGCAGTCTTCCAAGTCCTTCTTCCTCTTTTCAATCCTGTCCTTGTCAGTAAGATAATAGGCATCGTCGTCCTGGGGCATCAACTGACTCCAAAAATGCTAATCATACATGACTATATCGGCTAGGGGAATTTACAGTGAAGTAGAAGATGATTGTTTGTATGAGGCTTCACATAAAAGCATCTACTGCAGAGAGATAGGCCTCTTTTTTTGAGAGCAGCTTGAGTTAGACAAGCCTCTTTTGCAGCTAATCCATCGGGGTGCACTTGTTCTCCAAAGCATTTTCCAAAGCCATTGAATTCCCAGTTCTCTCCTTGCTGCTGTAGAAGGGTGTAGTAACTCTTTGTTACATTCTCAGAAAAAAAGGGTGTAGTAACTCTTCACTGCGAAGTATTCGTTCTTGTTAGTTTGCCAAACGTGTGAGTCCTTTATGTTAACATCAAGGGAAATAGGTTGCAGAAAAATTAAAAAAATGAGTAATTCACCTAGCTCCCGGTCATTGGAAGAGAATATCTTCTGAATTGTATAAGCCATCTGAAGGATTGCATATAGATGTTCGTAACACGCAGCGGAAGACAATAACAATCCTAGGCAGATCTTTTCGTGTTTAAAATTTATTTACATGTCAAAGATCGGATCTGAGACATACCTGGTGCAAAGAGTCTCGTTTCAAAATTTCTTCGATAATGCGAAGACTCTATGCGTATCCACACCGAGACCGATCCTTGCTATCAACTCTTTGATCAGTGAAACCCGCGAACAAATTGAATGAAAAATTACTATGCTGAAATTTTCTCAAAACCTTCAGCTAATAACAAGAAAATATCTCCCTTCGTTTGTGGCTCCTTTTAAGAGAATTGTCTCATAACCCCGTTATTTGTTTGTTATATGTATATATATAATAAACACCAATTCTTTCCCTATTTGGTTATGGAAAACCAAAGGCGGTGATTTATGAGACCAATTCTCAAGTGAACCTTTCCATAAATTGTTTATTTAAAAACATAAATCCTATTCTCAATAGGATGAGGCGGCAGACATGTCCTTTAAGGACTTCCCTGATGATCCAATTTTGGATCTTTACAAACGAATCTTTGTTAATATTTACATATATCTTTATATAAATAAATATATTAATTATAAGCACCAAATATATATATCACATATACATATTTCAAACCAAGAGATATATTCATTCTATTCTAAATAGAAAACTTCAATTTATTCACAATATTAATTATATTCCTTGTGCTAGCAAAGAGTATAATAATATTTCATTTGGACTAATAACTAAATTTATTTGACTAATTGAATTCTTTAATTTAATTATCAAATAATAAAGTAATTAATCCTTTAGCAAAGACCAGAACACTCGTTAGTGTGCGACCCCATAGGTTCAATACTAAACCGGTAGTAAATTGACCACATCAATATACTAATCAAGGGTGGCGTCTAGCAACAATCCTTAATGACCGGATAGCATGAAGTATACAATTTACTCTCAAGAACCAGTAGAAGAATAATGTAGTAATTACTTCTGTCCTTATAGTTCTGGGTCACCCTAGGATATGGTTCAACTGTCAAATCCAAATAGGTGACCAACTATGTGTTCATGTCAAATATAATCGACCATTGAATGACCTAAGAAACTCATTTCTTCTTTCATTCAATTGCCCTGGCCAAGGTCTTAATTTGGGCGTTTAGAATTCATTACAACATGGAGCTTAAACTCATTACCAAGAGTTGACAGATTCTATCTTGATCAATCACTAATTCTACAATTATTCAATCATACCCAATATCCTTTCAACTATCGCCATAGGGCCATAGGTGTCTAGTATTAAAACACAACAAATAACTTGTCAATTACTATGACGATCTCAGGTCAAAGGAAAATCTTACATCACATTCTTCAAGAGAATATCCTATTGACAGTTTATGGTAATTCTAACTTAGGAATTATCCAATGAGTCGGTTCAATGCACACTATATGCATCATCTATCTATGTGATTTAGTTAATGAGATCAACTAATCTTTATCCCATAAAGAAGATCACATAAATATTGATCTAACCGGATTACTAATGTCCAAATTAATAATCTTACGATCAAGAACAAATTTAGATTAAATTATAAGAAACTTTACTCTCATTATCATGATCTCCATCACGATGACAAGTCTCAAAATTTAATCAAGGACCTTATCAAGTTAATCAAACAATTAAAAATAACTATGATAAAAGAATATCAAATGCCATATATTTTTATATCAAATAACGTTCACAAAAATATGTTCAAATCATCAAATATGATATTGGATCTAGGGCATATCTACTATATCCCTAACACCCTCGTGTGTCTGTAAAGCAATCAGCCACCATGATTTCTTTGTTCAAGCACATATTCAATAAGGTAGGAAAGATACTCATCAGTCTTCCATTGTCATGCATTTAATGCTTCTCCCATTTCCCAGCTTAAGTGTGGTATTCTTTTGAAAGTCCAACCATAGAGTCCGCATGATGCAGATTGAGGCAGTCTTCCAAGTCTTCTTCTTCCTCTTTCCAATTCCCTGTCCTTTCCAGCAAGATAATATGCTTCTCATATGATAATTTGTGTTTGCTTTGGAATGAAGTATATTCACTTCTGACACCAACAGCAATGGCTTCATAACACTAAGGTTCACCAAAACAGAAGGTCCAAAACCATAGGTGAAAAAGTTATGTTCTCACTGCTAGTAATCCGTATAGGTGTCTGTTGTTGAATTTAGGTCACTTATGTTAAAAGTCACGTAATATAGGATGCTAAAATGACAATTTAAAAGGTGCTTATATTTGTGCAAAACATAGTATTCCTGTTGGTTTAGCAGATTAGCCAAGGTACCTACTTCATAAGCACAATTTTAAATTGCTAGAATTCTTGATAATTTTTTTTATTTTTTTGAACAAATTTGCCACCCTCTTCACAACCATAGTTACCCTACAAAGACTTTTTTCTTTTAGTAATGAGTTGTAATAGTACGTGGAAGCACTTATGATATATGAAGACATTATCTATGATAGAAATTACATGCTTGTTGAGTTTTTCCTAAAATAACTTCCAGTGAAGAACAGAAAGAAGTAGTTTTTTATTGGAAAATTTCTTCCTCCACTCTAAAGGAAAAACTCAAAAATCTTCAAAAAAAAAAGCTATACAAACATGTTAGCACACACTTTTTTCTCCCAAAACTTTCTCAAAGAAAATTTTCCAATAATTGTCCCAATAAAATTTCACAGGAGCACATTAAATGCTTCTCAAACTTTTGGTGTGCAATTGACTAATTATTGAGAAACTCATCTTATCTCAAAAAGAAGTCAGAAGTTCTCTTTGAACTCTTTCATACAAGTCGCCTGTGCAAAGAAACAAAAAAACTAAACAAAAAAAAAAAGAGTTGCATCCTTTGAAAACCATTCTCCAACACAGGAGACAAATAGGAAATGGATCAAGTAATTATGCAATATCTGCAGCTTTTTCTTCCTTCATTTTTGCTTCTACTGTTTGTTGAGGGAAGACATATGTAAGATATTAAGATCAGCAGTTCTGGGAGCAAAGCAAATGCTGGACTAAACTTCAGTGATCCATTATTAGCCATTATTAGAGAACCCTGTACAAGTCATTGCTCACTAGTTTTTTAATTTATGTCGGATAGATGTGGAACGTGATGACACTTGCTAATCACTTTGAAACAGAAAATGATATTAAGTCAATGAACTCATCATTTTTAAGTACTACTATCAAAATTTCAGTTTTTTGGGTTATATATCATATACTTGAAAGATCTAATTCTTTGATAGGGTAATGCTATGTGGGTCTATCTGTTTGCAACAACTTCATAGTTACTTGAATGTACTTTGCAGTCAGGTTGATCCAATTGTGGCATCATTCTCTGGGGGTGCGGTTAGGGTGATCTCTGCATTGATGGTTGTTGAAATCAATAATGTGAAACAGCAGGAGCATAAGAGATGCAAGTACTGTCTTGGAACTGGTATGTAATCGGTTAATAATTCGAAACTTAAAAGTCTATTTACTTTGGAAATTGGTTCAACCTATTAGAAGTAGTTCTACAACATTTTGAGGAGATCACGATGTTGTCATACTCAAGTCCTATGCTCCTGGTGACTTTTTTTTTCCCTTTTTAAATACTTCTTTTTCAAGTTATTTGTAATTGAGTTCTTCAAACAGTTCAGCCATCACAGAAAGTGCTGCGACTTTCTTGCTACCATTAATCGCCACTAATTGGGAATATGTAAAGTTAGGGTTCTGGAAGTAACTTTGTTTTGACTCTTTGGATTCTGGAAGGAATTTCTTTTTAGCTTTTCGAAGGGTGTAACACTAAATAGAAGTCTAGTGCATTCAACTGGCGAGAAATTAGAATGCAGGTGATTCTTATGATTATTGCTTCTGCTGGAAAATGTATATGCAGGATACCTTGCTTGTGCTCGATGTTCTAGCACTGGAGCTCTTGTTCTTATCGAGCCTGTTTCAAAATTTAATGGAGCGGACAAGCCTCTGTCACCACCTAATACAGAAAGGTGTCCCAACTGTTCAGGCGCAGGAAAGGTAAGTGTAACACAACATTTCGAATTTATTGGCTCCAAATTGTCCACTCTCTGCAGTAACAAATCAATTAGACTGGGTAAACTGAATTTCTCTACTTTCCTGCCCAATTGTCAAGTGACGTGGTCCACCAATTTAATATGATATGGATATCTTTGCAGAATGTCATGAAATTTTAAATATTGTGATCCGGAAGGGGAAGGGGTAGGGGATAGTTCTAAACAATTGACATCACTGTCAGGTTAGATTATAAATTGACCTTGGTTAAGGTTTGGCTTCTTTTCCTCTTTCATCAGCGCTCAAGTTTTTATGCCTTGAAAATGGAAAGAAAACATGACCGTGAGGGGGGTTGACTTCTATGATTGGCCGTTCGTGGACAATGGAAACATCACTTTTCTACTAACTAGCCAATGTTATATCATATAGATCTCCTATCAATATTGCAACACTTAGCAATTTTTTTTGTTTTGCTGGATTTATCATTCTTTAGATTTTCAGCTCTAATTTATGAGTTTATCGAATTACATGAAATTAAGATGAGCTTCCATTATTGGCAGGTCATGTGTCCAACGTGTCTTTGTACTGGGATGGCTATGGCAAGTGAACATGATCCACGTATTGATCCCTTCGATTAAATAGCAGATAGATTTCCTTACTTGAACTTTTAACTTTGAAGCTGTAAAGTTTAGATGAAGCATCATCAGTAAACGAACTACACCTATTTAAAAAGAGTCAGTTTATGAGAAAATCCTAGTCATCGTAAGGACGAATGATGCTAAACCTCTAAATACATGATTTGCTTTTTATGCAAGTCTAGTCACCATCTCCACTAATCTAGGGTTTGAAAATTTGTATATACAAGTATCTTCCAGATCTTAAAAGTAACCTGGAATAAATAGATTTCACTCATTCAAACACNTAATAACCCGTAGGCATGGAACCTTGATTCCCTGCCAACCTGCTGATGATGGTGCTACCAACGATGACACTGCTGTAGTATCTCAGGAAGGAATTTTCTCTTCAAGTCTCAATCTCATTTACAGCGATTTATATTCCTCAATCAGTCGGGACGCATGGAGACGGGATGTAGGAACCATAGTGCATCCTAGACTCTGAAGATATGCGAGCTGCCACAAGGTAACAAAGCAACTGAATGAGCTATCCCGAGCTCCAAGAATATGTCATTAGTTACAGGCAGTATTGCTGTGTGCATGTGTACTGTCTATAGTTAAAACTCGTGGCCATTATAAAATCTGAAGCAGCAGATTATTGCGTGATTATGATCTTTTACCAAGTATTTAATCTATAAGATCAAACCGAAACAAGTGAACTCCAGCCTTCAAGTCTTACCTATTATAAATTCCTAAAAAAGTCCAAAGAGATGGTTCGAATGCCCAAGATATAAGATGATTATATAGAACTAGCAACAATATGTGGCGAATAAGTACTTTAAACAGTACGTAGCAAAGATATTTAAACTGTGCCACATTATTTGATACAAACTTATGGCTGGCCTGCAAAGTCCACATTTGCCCACTAGGTGTTAAAAGAGAACATACAGCACTGCTTACGGATCTTCAGATTAGGTTCATCTATTTATCTCTTTGAAAATGTGGTTAAAGTCGGTTAAACTTGCAACTCCTTTATTTTTCCAGTAAATGCAAAGAGTAGAACACAGAACAAGAAGGGAACAACAAATTATGCTTACCTGTTTGGGAGTTGGTTCTGATGAACCCATTGCACTTTCAATCCGCAGTTTCTGAAAGTACTCCTACAACAGAAAAGGTCCAATTAATAAGTAAAGAAGAATAATAATCTTCCGGAAACAGGACGAATTGCATACTAAACTTTTTTCTTTTTTCACTCCTGAGCTTCTTTAGATGCTATCTCAGTCTCCTACAAATAACTTCATATGTGAAAGTGTACAATGAATAGGGAAAGGATCATAAACAGGAAATAAAAAGGAAAGGGATGAATTGTTGATTGCGTCATCCATCCGCATTGTGCTTATGAAATCAGAATAACTCTCGAACTTAACTACTATTTCATATGCCTGAAGCACTTTAATAGCGGAATGACCATAATCCAAGAGGTAATGTGCAAATATGTCCACCACAAATTTCCAGGTCCCGGCATGGCCTTTCACTTGTTCATGTATTTGATACTTGTATGAGAACTAAAAAGATATTGGGTTTAGGATGATACCTGTTTCTCTCTCATCAAGTAAGCACGCTTCTCAGCAGGAATTTTCTCCCAGTTCAACACCTAACCGAACAAGAAATATTTGATCATTATGACTAGAATGAATCAGAGTTATCAAAGGCGAAAGCGCAAAAACACTTGTTGGGGCTTTAAGCGCAAATAAAGCGTGGGCTTTAATGAAGAAAGGCGCAACTGGAGAAAAAGCTACAAATATGTAATTATGGATGCGTAGTCCAAGACTAATATCTTTATACATGAATACCAAATATATGGACAAAGAAATTGAAGAAAATTTACGATAGAGTGAAATATCAATTGTTTAGTATCGCCTCTTCCGGATTACACTTATTAGCAAGGAAAAGTATGCCTTAGAGCCTTGATGACATTACTGAAGCGCCCGCTAAGCGAAACGAAGCACTCAACATGCTTTGAACCTCACTTCAGGGCTTAAGCGCGCCTTTGATAAAACAGGAATGAATAGTAATTGTTGGGGTTCTTTAGAATAAATTTATGGTTGAAGTACTTAAAAACTACGGATAGAGATGCTAACTTACAGATTCAGCATAATGTAGAGCTTCCTCACAAGTTAATGAGGACTTTAAGGCACGTAAAACATCCTGGAAAATCGTCAAAAGACATGTCAGGACATTCAACACGTTGAAATAAATTTTACAGTATTAGAGGTATGACTTAATTATAAATATTCTTTAACTAGTAATGGCCTGCTTCACTTCCTGAAATTCTATCATTACTAACCATGCTAGCCTAACTACAAGTCAGTTTTAGTTTCTTCCTTTTCTGCACCAATAGCACTTGACGAAGAACAAGCATGTATGAGTAAGGGGCTAGTGCAGCTGTGCTTTCGTCTAGGATTGTCGTTTTAGGCGTGGAATGTGATGATAGAACCCTTAAGGTGGCAGATACTTAAGTTTCTCTGACGAAGCTGTTTTGTTTAAAGGTGGCAGATATTCTTTTTCATATGTTTATTGATTTCTCTGAAGATAGAGATTTGAAAAGAGGAGAAATGGAGAGTTTGGTACCAAAGGAAACAGAAAACATCATGCTTCTGGGGACTGGAGGTACCAGTTTTTCTTTATCCTTCCAATAGCCCACCTCCAGCCCCAGCGACTAGTAGATGGCAAAGGATGGAAGAAGGATGGAGGCACAAGGTGGCTACTGATGTCAAAGACGGGAAGAATTTGGTGGAGAAGAGGTGCAACTGGTGGTGGGATTCCTAAAACGAGAAATAGACCATGAGCTTTGGTTATCTAGTTTTACTTTGGCATTTAGGTCACTTTGGTGCTGGCACCAGATATAAGCTTTGGGCAAGGGCATGTGCTGCCCAAAAATAAAAATAAAATAAATATTAGGGAATGAATTACCATAATGTTGAGTCATGTAATTAATTTATCAGAACTAATGCATTCAAATTGAGATGAAGAAATGGGAGAAAACCAGGGCCAAGACCTTGTGAGTGCTCTTCTTGACTCTAAGGCGCTCATCAATGACAAAACCTACCTGAAGATACCAAAAACAGCTACATTAAGATCCAACCTTTTGTTAAAGAACAAACTGTTTTTAGAAATTCAATCTGGCATGATTCTCGCCATCCAGAAGCAGGTTTTTGCCTGTTTTGGCTAAAGGATACATTGAATACATGAAGTTAAACATTAATTGCTCTGCTTACCTAAGAAATATACCCCAATCATAAAGAAAATAAAACAGATAAACAAACTTTTACCTTCTTAAGCAACCTCTGTGGTTCCTGAAATGCAGGCTTTTTGGCCCATTGATGGAACAAATGAGATACAACTGCTCGGTCTTCCGCATTAAATCTGGGTAGATCAGTTCAGAAAGTTAATCAAAGTTACGCTCGAAAGGATGGAAACAGGAGTATCTTATATCTCTTTGTCCAATCATAAGTGTCCTAATTTACGCGTATTAAGACAAAATAATTCCATGTTACATTTCTCTTTTTTGATGACGATCCGGGCCATCTTGTGCCCAGCTCGATATTCCACCGAGTACCTGCTACCTCCCATCAACACATGTGGTGTGTACCGAGTAGCTCTATCCACCAAGGTTTAGGCAGATGGGAAGAAATCACCTAGTATTTTTTGCTTCTACCGGGATTTGTAATTCCATGTTATCTAACAAACTCATGTCACCTTTTACATAATAAGCTATTGAAAATATTGCAGGCTCTATTTGTTATAAATAAAACATATTGTAGGCTCTATTTTACTAACCAAGAAGTACGACCAAAGTTATAATGAGCTGATATGTCATGAGTAAACCTTGAACACTCGCTTATTTAAATAAAAAACAGAGATTGAGCCCACTGTCAAACTGATTTATTACATGAGTCAAGCTTGTGAAAGATTGAATTCACTCGTTTACTGTTCACAAAAGCTCAGGTAACTGGGAACTTTTATATATAATTTTTTTTTAGAAATTCCCATTTACCATGTATTTAGCATGTAATGCTAGTCTTGCTTCCATTCAAAATTTTCTTTATTGGCTCATTAACTTAGAGAATAAGAAAACTCTACATCAACCAACTACACAAACGGGCCTAAGTTCGAGCTAGTAGAAACTTGCCTGAGCGAAGTCGCCTCGTTAAAGCTCAGTCCAATTCAGCCCACTTACAGCTCTAAGTATGATAATCAATTTGGGAAAGGGGAACTAAACTAATATTTATTCTACCCAGCAAAGTAATTAAATGACGAAAACCTTTTCAGGAAGCTTTTGGAATTGTACAGCTCCATTGTGTCAATTGACTCTTTGGACATTCCGTCAACCGGATCAATGAGAGGATCATCTAGCGTTATTTTATGATCAAGGGATTCCACCTTTTCAGCTGAACCACTCTGAGGAGTTTCCTCCTGGAGCTTTAGGTGATTGGTCAGCTCTTCCTATTAGAAAAGACTGTTAGCAAGAAGGTATTTGTTTGACCAGAAAAAACATGAAATGCTATACAATGACAGGTGATCTACTTTACTCATAAGAAAATTGGCAAAAGTAAGGTAGTGATTGAAAAACCATTCCCTCCAGATGTCTTTATTTACTGTCTGTTTAGATATCAAATAGTAAGCAAGTGAAACAAACAAAATCATCTCTAAATAGGTGACAGAAATGGTAAGTTGCAATCTCTGCAGAAAGTCAAGGGTCATCTTGCCCACGAAAATAATATAGTGGATTGGATAAGTCACCATAGACTAGGTGGCGTTTGTTTTGAAGTTTCAAAAAATGAGTCTCCAAACTCAATTTTGAGTTTTTGGAGAAAATGTTTATTGAGTTGTGTTTGCCAAAAAAAGTACCGACATTTTTTGACGATCTCCAAACTCAGCTTTTCAACTTTTTTAAGAACTCAAAAGTTCTAAAAACTAGTTTTTGAGGTTTAAAGATTTAAAACCTGAGTTTGACATTCTTCAGGAATACTTTAATTATTTCAGAAAAACAACTCCAACAACCAAATTTTGGAAAAACTCAAGCAAACTCAGATTTTGGAAACTTCAAACAAACGCCCGCATAAAAGGTTTCATGAGCATTGAGGCAACTTATTTTAGTCAATAATAATCTTATGTGGATGCTTATTTATCAATAAAGAACTTAATCAGACCACAAAATTTCGTCGAAAAGAATAGGATCTTTTTCAGCTTCCAGCACATACAGAATTATCTAAATAAAGCAATTCAATTTAAGAAGTATTTTACTTCAATCTTTTGGGATAACAGCCAAAAAAATGAGTTTATTAACTTGCAAATTAGAAGCTTATGTGGATTAATTAAGTTGATTCATTAATCTCACTTCCTCAGATGTTTCATAGGCACATAAAAAATAATTGAGCTGGAGTTTGAAAAAAATGGTATTTGAAGTTGAAGTTGAAGTTGAAAAAGAGTTTGTGGTTTCATTTGTGTCTAGACATGAACTTCACTTGGAAAATTGAAGAGCGAAAACCAGTATTTCACTTTAGATACACCTTGAAACTAGTTTCAGTATCAAAAACTGAAGTTCAGTATTTTCAAATACTCGTGACCAAACTGATATGCAAATATTAAAGACAAGCCCCCTAACCATTCCGCTATTCCTGCCTTAAAGCAAGGGAATCTGCTCTGACCCACCACCCTGGTAGGAATTGCCAGATTTGGAGTTACTGTTCTTCCCTCGAATGTTGGCTACGAACTATGCGAACTGAATTGTCAAGGCTTTCAAACCAACACTGAGAAAGCTCAATCAATAAAGAGCGGTATTTCAAAATACTGAAATAGTATTTATGCCCAAACAGGCGCTTTTCAAAAATCTACTTCAAAATGCTTTCATGATCCACCACTTGCAATGCTATCGATGTATTTTGCTACCAAGTTATGTCTCACATTTACAGAGAGTAACAGTAAGATGATGTGCAATCGTGCTCTATTACAAAACTCTCATATTTTCTGTGTAAAATCATTGGCTAAAAAAAGTCACTGAATGAATTATAACTAGTGTTTTAAAAGGCATGGGTGCGAGGCGTAGCGAGGCGTTTTACTTGATACGGGGCTAGGCGCAAGCCTCGAGGCGCCGGGCGTAAGCCCCCTGGATCTTTAATTTTTAATATTTTATAAAATAATATATAAACTAAATATTAAAAGAAGGTAAAATTACATAATTTCAAGAAAATATAAAGTAAGTGGAAATGTGTATAAAACTGCTTCATCTTAAAATGCTAATCAGAAGCTGCAATTGACTAAAAAACTAATAAGAATTGCTTCATCTAAAAAACTAATCAGACTTTGAAAAGATTGAGTAGAAATTTATAAACTAACTTGAAAGAGCAAAAGAACTTGAAAAGAAAGAAAAGCGAAGGAGGAAACTACAATCAAAATCGTCAAACAAGAGGAAGTGATTAAGGATGATGGTTTTTTGCTTTGTAGTTTGCAAATTGATCATTTTTTCCCTTATCCGTAATAACATTTAGGGCTAAGAATAAAAAAATCTTTTGATTTTTAGATCTTTTAATCTTTTAGAATTTAATAACAAGCTGACTTTTGTGTTTTCCGCTCTGGTGCGTTTTTAATACGCTCCACCTCGGGCCTCACTCCAGAAACACCTTTTAAAACACTTATTAGACCAATAGGATGGAGGCCTTCAAATCATTGCCTAGATTTGGAGGAATTACATTTTGAAGAGTCATGTAAACTATAGAAATATGCTCCTGAAGGTAGAGACTCACAGGTCATAAGAAACGGTTAGTGGAGGAAATTTGTCTGAACTATTCAACAAACTAATTTACCAAAAAGCTTGTTTCTTCAACCTTCAGTTATCCTTTTCGTTCACAGATCCAAGAATTCTTAAGGCTTGTAGGCAGTGAAAGAGCAGGGCAAGAATTGAATACATCTGCTTGTTTTGACAGTTTCAGTACAAAGAAATCTCATCCTCAACCTAACAATATTAGGCAACTTAACCAAACAGCTTTATGATTCCTCACCCTGGGTACCATGGCTATTTTCTCATTAACAAAATCTTTACTAACTCACAAGAAATGGAACAAACAACTAGCATTAGAGCACCAAGCAAGTCAGCGAGCCCGGCAGATTGAGAAAAGTTGCAGAGTGTTCGGCCACAAAGAATATTTATAACAGACATATTTTAACCAAGACACATCTTACCTGGGTCTCTTGAAGATGACGAGGAATTTCTCTCAGAAAACGTGAAGGTTGAAGAACCTGAAAGCAAGTGTGTCTAGACTTGAGAAAGAAACAATAAAGACATATATCAACCAGAGCAAGCTGTTCATCACACCTGCCAATTTGAATCCATAATTACATACAAAATGAAAAGCTTTTTCCGTGCACGAGTCATTGCCACATATAGCAAGCGTCTCTCCTCCTAAAGTTGCAGAACAAAAGAATTCTGTTAGAAGTGGATAAAAAGATATCTTTATTATAGAAGGGACAAATTAATCTAATGGTAAAATTTCAAAAACATAAATACCTCAATTGAGTTACTCCTTTCATTTGTGATGCCATTAAATTCGTGTAACAAGGGAATATCTGATTCATTTGCCTGACCAATCGATGCAACCATTAGCTCCAGATTATCCCGTTCCAGATAATAATGGTGTTATAGAGAATAAAAGATCTCCTATGAATAAAAGGGTGGGAAGGGGGGAGGAGGGTCCACTATCCCTCTCCTTGCTCGTCCAATTAGTGCAATGTAACATTTGATATATGTAGAATATAATAAATAAATAAAAACTGAAAGCATGGATCTCATATCATACCTTCACTATGAAAACTGTATCCCACTCTAAGCCTTTTGACTACAAAATCAAACGGAAGATATGAAAAAGGAAATCCAATCAATTCAAAATATGGAAATTGTAAAGAAGTAGCAGGAAGCAAAGTGAAAGAGCACATTTCTAGAGGATTCAGAAACCTGATGAATTGTCGTGAGTGTAACAGAGTCTTTGTTATCATGTCTCCTTGTACGAAAATTTTCATTCTCCCGTTCAGATATATGATCGATAAAAGCTTTCAGTATGTTGGCGCAACCTTGTCCTTCTGTTTTGCACTCAGTTTCTCCTTTTATGGGGTTGTTATGAGTTTTTAGAAAATCAGACACATCATCCAGTAGATATTGAAGAACCTGCAGCATTAAACAAACAGCTTCAAATGTATATGCTTATTTCACTTGCTGCAACAATTTTTATACAGGGGAAAACTAATGAAAAAGAATCAAACAGAAAAGACGAGAAGATTAGGTTCATCCAGTAGAAGTCATGCATTAGCAATGAAGGGACTAAAAAGAACAAGACCACAAAGGAACATGTTACACTTACAGATCTAACATCATGATCTTCATTAAGCAACTTCCCTCCATCATTATCATGAACTGCCCGTTGTTCAAGAAGGTACTTCTACAGAATAGAAGTCACATGTGAAGAGATTAAGGTGCTTATAGTATAAAAGCTGTAATCTGAAAAGAAACTTTCATTAGCTTGAAAGAAATTAAATTGACAGAAGCTGCAGGTACCGCTATGATGTGAGATTCTCATAGAGATTTTAAACTCCTAATCATATACACCGTCCTTTTCTATTTATGTGGCGTAGTTTGACTGGGAACAGAGTTTAAGAAAGAAAGGAAGACTTTTGAGACTTGTGGTCTTAAACATGCCATAACATTTGTGTGGTTATAAAAGCTTGTCATTAAGAGTAAAATGAGAAGTTTAAGTTAAATTATTTGCAAATTTAGAAAGTTGTATTCTTTTTGGAACGGGCTAAAAAGGAAATGCTGCCACATAAACGGAACGGAGGGAGTATATCTTTCTTTTTCTCCATACAAATATAACAGTTTAGAGTTTGTGCTTTTATAATACAAGGACCAACCTGGGGTATCATGTTAGCCACTGAAGTAATGACAGCTGAAATTGACTCTTCCTGCAAGTATAACAAGTAATATTACCCAAATATTAGGTCTGGCCAAACCACATATGACCCTTAAAGTATGAGATATTTCTCTACACACACAGATAAATTATCATTTACATCCAATACTTTGTCCAAGAAAGTTTATCTCTAGTAATGAGCAAAAGCTCAGCACCAAATTGCACAAATGAAACCCTATATCATGTAAACTCACATCAGCTCCATCATCAAATAATTAATCAATGCCCTTGAAAATGCCTTTTCAGTTGTCCAGACAGATAATCAATTTTGGCAATCCAGCACACATGATCATTCAGACAGAACTAAGTAAAGCTTCACATGATTTACGCCTACATAGAACAGAATTATCCATAAGATTCAAAGATTTACCCGGTTGACGAGTTTCGAGATCATGTCTATCATGAGCAACACCTTCCGTCCTTGGGTGAGTTGACTCCTGCAAATCAATAGACACAAATTAAGAATCTCATTTGAGACTAAATACAGTCAGAGACTAATTCACAGTAAATAGAAATGAAATGAGCAACTAGGTATTTCAGGGCTAGTTGCTTGTGCTGAATTCAATATCAGGACATATCAGAGGACCAAAAGCTTTTTCTTTGTTTCCAGAAGACAAGAAAAAGAAACAGAATAAGTGTAGGGATGTGAAGCAGAATACGAAAAATCAGATAGTATTTGAGACCACATAGATAAATACATAATATTGTCCGATGAAGTAGTCAAAAAGTGTACTGCCTAGGTCATAACTATTACAGCTAATAAGATCATAAATCTATCATCGCCGCTTTACAGCAAGGAGTTTAGAACAAACCTCTTGAATGTCCCAGATACTTTAGCACTGAATATGTCTTGTGCTGCTGAAATGAAACTACTTTTCCTTATGGTAGAAACTTTATCAATGTGTTCAATTACCTAGGAGAGAAAATGTCAAAAGAAGCTTTAATAAATAGACATTGAACAGCCATAGTGCCCCACAAGTGAAGCAAAATAGATAGGATGGACAACCTTCTTTTTTTCTTCTTTCTCTGAAGGCAGTAGGGCCTTCAATACTCTTCGAAATGAACCATCATCAGAACCAGGCAAAGTTGTTCTAAGCATAGAAATGATGGCCCTGACCACCTATGCATGAAAATACGGGGTGAATGACTATTTATAATTAAAAGCATATGCACCTATCGGCAGTGATGGGAGGTGTGAGATACCTTTTTCCTATAGAAGGCCACACCATGAACATTGAATTGGATTTTTCTATTACGAAATGCCTCCTGAAAGATTTTTCCTGACACCTGTTGCACAACTTGAAGCCACAGGAAGAAATTATTCAGCCAAAAACCCGCAAAAAACTTTTAAACAAGTTTACTTTATCGAAAGGCCAAGCTTGACCTGCCTCCGGAATAGAACTGCTATGTCGCCGAAAGAGGACTTGCCAGTTGTGCTATTAGAAGTAATTTCTAATATTTTATCAACAACAAACGAACATTGTGCATCCTCATTGCAGCATTCTTTGATAGTTATCTGTGACGTATCATATGTAAAAAAAAAAAAAAAACCTATAGAAGATGTTTATCTTTTTAAACATGCTAAAATGATTTACCTTAGACCCAACAGGATTATCAGTAAGAACACGCTTTGATTGGCACCTTTTTGAATTATTTTGTATGAGATATGATGCAGCTTCAACAATGCAACGTGTGGACCGGTAATTTTTACTTAGTCTGACCTGAATAGAGATTGATATACATAACAAGGAGACTATCAGAACCGTGTTTGAAGTTTTATATAGACAAAAGGCCTAAAAAGACAAACGTAAAAAGTTTGCCAAACCTCTTTGTGCAAAGGAAAATCTTTCCGAAATGAATCAAATCCAGAGGCATCAGCACCACTAAAACCAAAAATGGACTGCAAAATGATGCTGAAAACTCTGAGCAGCGAGGTACTTGAAAGGGAAAAGAAGTAAAGAACTTGTCCCAGCAAGCTGATAAGAAAGTGTTTAACTGGGTAAAGTAAGAAAAGACTAGCTTCACCTGATCTTCGTCACCAACAATAGTTATGCGTTTATGCGATGCAAGGGTACGTAAAAGTCCATATTGCATGGCACTTGTGTCTTGAAACTCATCAATCACTATTGCTTTCCATATTTCCTGGCACTCTTCAAAAACTTCATTTGAACAAAACCAAAATCAAACAGATTCAGACAACTGGGATATCACAATGCACTAGGTTTCAGTCTATTATGAAACGCTTATGTCAACCTTCTGGAAAATCAGTCAAGAGCTTGACAGAACAACTGATCAAGTCATGGTAATCCAAAGCATTGCATGATTTTAATATATCGTTGTAGTTTTGAAGAACTGCAGCCTGATTAATATTCCAAGATCAGAATAAGGAAACATGAATGATAAAATACCAAAAAGCCCTGATTATCGGCTTACTCCAGTTTCATTGCCAATTTTGTAGTCTTCAGGTGTCCGTCCTGCAGCCTTAGCCTGTATTTCAGTGAAAGTGATGTAAGTGCAAGTATAACAACCATTAAATATGCGACAACACTGTCCTAATTGAATATGAACGGAAAAGCAATACAGAGGAGAGAGTTTCAGTTTTGACACATAACAGTATTTATTAATATGCCAAGACGAAGAAGATAAAATATATGGTTTATACATATTCAGATAGTCCACTTATATGTTATAGACATAAACTTGATCTTTTCCAATTCAGCATATCCAAATGTTGTCACTCTTACAGAGGAGAGTCAGCAGACACTGCATTCTCTAATGGAAAGAATGGCTACTCTTCATGTACTCGGCGTAAGTGTGAAACATTAAAGGGTTGTTCAATTGACAGTTCAGATAAAACTAGTCAAAGTTATGTTATATGAAGTTGACTAATGTAAACTTTAAAAAAGCAAGATTTGATGCTCAAACATAATTGGAACACTATCTTTAATCCAGAAACTACTTACTTGAGTTACAAATTTTAACCATTTCTTTGATTTCTCCTTAAAATGTTGAGGAGAATTCATGTCATTAAGCTGGTGAAGCTCGTCACGAGGTTCCTTTTTCTTATCATCCAGTAAGCGAACTGCTTCAATGACAGCTCTTCTCTGCTGCCCATGTCCATATATGAGAAACTCAGGTGTTCGGCCTAACCTATTAATAAATTAACGTGTCTATTTAGACAAATTTTCACCGTAAGAAACGGATACATTCCAATGAACTACCTTCTACGTTACAGATACAGATAGGTATGAAGGTGAAGGAGAAATTGGATAAAGTGCATGAGTTGTGTAGAGAGAGAGCTTCCAACCAATACTTTAAAAGGCTAAGATGAAGGCCCTCATATGCCTTGAGCAAAAAGTTTAAGCTTTTTGAACTTTCATCTTTTTAACTTCTAAATAATACATTATTATACCTATATATATATATATAGAGAGAGAGAGAGAGGTTCCAACCAATACTTTAAAAGGCTAAGATGAAGGCCCTCGTATGCCTTGAGCAAAAAGTTTAA